GTGAACAGAAAGAGATTATGCTTGCATCAAATCTTGTATCATTCCTTGTGGGATAGATCAGTCCCATTCTCAAAGGGAAATGATCTCTGCAGGTATTTTTCCTACGTGATTTTTACTGAGTACCCAAATTTTTTTCTCAATTGCTGTGCTGTCCTGGGGAATCTGCTCAGTGGGTTACAGACTTATCTCTAGCGGCAAGCAAAGTCTTTTACCATTCAATTACTAAAATCCCCTGCCTTCTCCATAGCAGATCTCTAGGATTATTACCATGGATGGAGAAATCAAAATTACAAAAAGAGAAACTAAAGAGTAAATGGGAACTCATTCCTGTTAGTCTGAAAGTGAAATTTACATTCTTTCAGAGATTTTCTACTCCTTTCATTAAAAGAATACACAACAATTTGTATATGTCTAAATACTATAAAGCAGCAAACTCAAGATAAACCTCCCTTCTGGAACACAGGTAATATGTATGTTCTACAGAAAGGCTAGGCAAGAACTCATGCTGATTTTATTGTTATTTTTCTGCTCTTCCTGTGTATGTGTCTTGCTTTTCTCAATAAAAACAGGTTCAGAATACATTAAAAGGAAAAACCACAATATTTTAAAGAAACAGTTCAAAGCAGAGAAATTTCAGCACACTAAGTAGAGCTACATATGGAAATCCAAGACATTTTCAGTCCAAAGTTGGATGTTTAAATTCCCTGTCTCTCAGCAGTTTTATCTAAGAGAAAAGTTTATAGATCAAGACAACCCCGCTTCTCTGTGCATGTTGCTCATAGGTCATGAGTTCCATAGAGAAAGGAAAATTGCAACCTTTATTTGAAATTATCTTTTTACAGACACTCTCCTTTAACTCTTGAGGAGAAATAAGACAAATTTGTGAGAATCATAAAATAATTCTGCTTGAAATTTGCTCTGGTTTTCTCTATCTGATCCAATGGTTTAAAACACATTTTTTTTCCTTTGATTTAATCACAAGAATTGGGAGTGGAAACATGGGAGGGCAGCCATATAGAACAACAATAAATGTTTGTATATATATATATATATATGGCCACTTTCCTTCTTTGCGTGGGATCAGCTTTTACCATTTAACGGACCATTCAACCAATATATTATTTCTAGGTGATCAAAATGTCAGGGTTGCATTTAGGAACAAAATCTTCAAAATAATAGAGAAAAATGAGGAAAAAATAAGTAAAGTTCCAAATGTTATTGAGTTGCTGCCCCAATCTCCTCTCCTGTGGGAGTGATATAAAGATCTCTAACTCAGTAGTTTTCTCCTAAATGTATTTTTTACACTTCAGCTGTGGCACTGTCTTTGGTTTCCAGCCCCCCTGATTTTCTAACAACCTCGGGGAGCTCATATTGAGAACAAAACTCAGATCTAAAAGAAAATTCTATCCATTTTCTCTATTCACAATAATGACAGTGAAGATGTAAATCCAGCTTTATAATTTTCTAAAGAGCAGAACCAGCAGCACAGTAGCCTGAGTGGGTGGTAAGGTATCAGACAAATATTGTAATGAGAGATTAGGTAAGGCTCTCAGGGCATATTAAACTGAGGAGCGTGATGCTAAACTCATGAGTGTGATGTTATTGGTTAAAGTTGTAACTGAGAATTATCAGAGGCTTATTAGTATTTGATATGAGCAAAATACAATGGGACAGCTGCTTGGCAGGGTTCTTTGCTTTCAGATTCAATAAAACTATGATAGAAAACTCCTGCTGAAGATATTCCCTACCTTTGAAACAATTTTCTAATATTGGATCCAATGACAATCTCTTGCCCTAGATTTACTTTTTACCTGGAGACATAGAGTTGTGCTGAGGGAAGCAGCGTGCCCTGGCCAGGGCCCTGCACAGCCTGGGGAGGGGGCAGAGGAACTCGGGGGTGTCCTCCCTCTACCTGCTCAGCTATGAGCCTGCTCTGCTTCAGTCCGTGCAATGCTGTCCTGGAGTTTGAAGACGGAGGGAAAGGGGTTTAAACAGCTAGAAACTCCCTGACCTTTCTCAGAGAATTACTTCAAGTGTCTCTTTTCATGTGTGTGATATAAAAAAATCACCAATGTCATAGAAATTGGGCTGGTTAACGTCAGCTATAAATGCAACTACTTACTTAGTTTAGTATTACATTCTGCTTTCCTTTACAATGCAATGAAAATTTAGTAGAAATACATAATTTGTTTTTAAGATTCACACTACAGAGAAAAGAGTTAAGAGAGATTTTGATAGTGATTCCTATTTGCAGCACAGAGATGATTCTAGACATACTGCCTACTGCCACTATTGTACTACATCTGTGTAAGTAGTGGCTTAATTGCTCTCTTCCCTTACTGGAGACTATATACAGATTGGAGATGCATTTTTCTTAGCTAAATTATCATAGCAAAGAAAAGCACACAGATTCTGTCTCCATTCCTATCTTTCCTTGCCTCTCAACACAAGTAAGAAAAATTTCAGCCAGCCTCTAGCCATATGATAGTCCCATCTTCCCTTCTCCTGAACCCAGCTGAAGCTGCAATAGTTAAACATTGGAGTGTCAAGTGCACAAAACACTTGAAACTTTGTGAATCCTTTACTTGTCTAAGTCCTACAAACCCAGCCAGCAGCCTGCCTGCCTGTTGATCTGAGAGCTCAAGGAAAATGCCTTCAGTCTCTCTGACTTTATAAACTGTTTAGAATATCCTGCTGGGAAATTGCTACTGTATCATTTGTTCAGCTGCAGAGGGAGAACTGGCATATCCTGAACTTGGCCTTTTTGTGGACCTTGAAGTTTATCCTGGAAGGAACAGATCCTCTGCTTCAATGCAGTCATGTCAATTGACTCCTGCAAACAGGCTGGTTTGCTGTAAACCGATGTTGTGAATTACCATCCTCCTCCTCCTACTTGGAACATCTCAGATGTTCCTAATCTAAGGGTTTGGGCAAATCCCTTCTATACACTGTGAATTTGGGTTTTCCTACCCACATGGGAAGCAATGCAGATGGGATGTATCTCTTCTTTTGATGACAAAAAACATATATAAGAGAGGACTTGCAATTTTTCAGCTCTTGCCTACGCAGGAGTATTTTACCAGAGTTTTCTCACAGCTGCTACCAGGGGCCCAGATTCACACTGACACCATCCTGAGTGTGGTCCCCATAGCAAAGCACTTAAGGTCAAGGCAATGGACAGAAGGGAAACCAGATGGAAAAATGACTTGTTCATGCTGCTACCCAGTTGCGTTAGGATGGGGACCCATGGAGCTTACACAGTCTGATTAGCCCCAGGTTCATGGCCCTGTGTGATTCAGGTCACCCGATGCTCTAATCACTCGGCTACAGATGCCGTCTCTCCAAGTCCCAGGAAATATTTAATTAGCTGTACAATGCAGAAGCAGCTTCCAAAGGAAAATTCCTCTGCAAAACAACCATCGACTTCGTGCTAAAATACCCATGGGGGCTGGAGCACAGCCGGGTCTGAATCCCAAGCCTGGAACAAAGGGAAAGAATCTCCTGTTCTCACAGCCCACTCCTGTTTTGACCCAGGGGAATCTTTCCCAAAGAAAGCTTCATCAATATAAACACATTTTCACTGAAAAACCCACAAAAACCAAACCAAAACAAAAGAAAGCTAGACTTGCCAGAATGAAATGTTGCAAACTCATTTTCCCAACTCTAAACTGTAACAGCAAAGATCAGGTTTCTTGTGATTTTGACCAAGCTAAAGTAATGAGACCTCCTTTTGTGGTGTACTTTGGAAAGGATCTCTGTGGGTGCAGTTCTGGTGGAAGTGAAGTGGGCTTGCTAACTGCACAAGTGGTTTTCCAGGGCATGACAACATTCTCTCTTAATCTCTCACTTCTGATGTCTGGGGACCAGTCTTGCCACCCTGTGTGTCCCTGTGTCTATGGCAGGGCTGTACTTTGACCCTCAGCTTTGGACAGCATTGCCTGCTTCTGACTGTGCCTGAGCCCACCCTGGGATGCCCCCACACCGTCTGTGCTGGATTTGTAGCACAATAAGACAGTATCTTTCTCTCCCTTATGAGGGAATACTTGTGACTCATTTGAAGCAGAACATAATTTGAGAAGAAGCTGAAGAACCAAGTTTCTATCAGTGCATGCTCTGTCATTTTCCCAATCACTCACTCACTGCAAGATCTCAATTCACTCATTCCACCTCTCTGGCCCCAGTGCCATCTCTGGGTGATAACAGCAGTCACCCATTGCTCTGAAGTGCTGGGTTCCAGCAGGGAAAACGTTCCATGGACTCACCAGAAATAGTGATGAGTGTTATTTTACAAACCTGGAGAGAGTGGAATTAGGTATTTTTAGGAGACTCTCTCTTTTCTTATTTAATTTCTGACTTGTGATATTTCGAGTTGGCTCTTGGGCTTTTTCAAAGTGTCAGTCCTTTCTGCCATGATGCAGCTAAGCAGGATTCACCCAGCCATTCTCCAAATTCTGCAGGTGGTCACTGCACCATATGGAGTCCCAATGCTGACCATTTGCACAGAAACAGTATTTCTTACTGGAGAAAGACTCAGACCAGACAGCATCCATTCTGCTGGGCCATAGGGACAGTGTTGGAGCCAAGCCACACTGCCTGACCCTTGGAGATGATCCCTACACACCTTCAGTGGGAACAGCAGAAAGCTTAGCTTTGTATAGGACCTCCCAGCCACCCCAAACACCCCAAACTGTGCAGGGTCCCCTGCACAGTGTCCAGGAGGATGGGAAGGACAGGTATATTTGCGCTCAGCCATCACCACAACCTGACCAAGAGGAGAGTGTGGGCAGTAAGACATAGCAGCACAGGAAAACAAGGGATTGTCATGTGGAAAGATGCACCTGGACACATATTGCAAAGGAGCAATGGTGTGATGCCCTCCTTCCCTCAGCATGGTCCCACTGCTGGGGCTGGGGGAAATGCAACCCTGAGTTCAGGCAAGTGAGGGAAAAAGCAAGGCTAGGGGAACCAGAAAGCTAAATAAGGGGTAGATTGGTACAAAGGGCAGCTGAGCAGAGGAGAGCAAAAGGAGGGAGCAGTGAAGGAAGTGCAGCCCAGCACAGCCTGAGGGGAGCAGGGTGGGGGGAAGGGGACAGCACTGGCCTGTCTCTTAGGGAGAAGCAAAGGGACATGGGGGAGAGACCAGAGGTGCCTGCAGCCAGGAGACAGGCAGACTGCGGGGGAGTGAGAGCAGGGCCCTGGGATGCCTGGCATTCCCCAGGCCCCCCCCACCATCACCCCCTCCCTGCTGACACTGTCTCTATCTTCCAGGTCAGTGAATAATTTCCTGATGACGGGCCCCAAGGTAAGAGAAATCCCTTTGATCTCTGTCCCTGATTCCACTAAACCCAGAGAGGGAAGGAGAGAGAAAGAGAGGGGCTCCTCCTTCCCACTCCTCTCTACCCAGCTCCCCTCACCCCCTAGTTTCCAGCAATAAGGCAAAGAGAAAGGCCAGGAACTTGTGAGCTCCTTGGGCTGCATGAGCCCTGAGCAATGCTGACCTGGAGTTCTTTTAAGCTGGTTGGGGCCAAATTCTGGAGATTTGTCTATTGACTCCAGCCAAAGCTCTCACCTGACATCTGTTGCTTCCTGAGGATCAGGTTAGCACCAGGGGCCACACTGATCCAGCCAGAAAGTATTTTCTGTAGGCCCTGTAAAACATACTTCCTCAAGGAGCACAACTAGAATAGTCAGGACTTTGTTCCATATTTTTGACTCCTCACATCCTTGTGCTCCTCTTTCAGAGGCTTTTTTTCTTAGCCAGGACCAGTTGTAAAATTTATTCAGATTTTGTTCTGGCTATTCCCCAGGAACACCTCCAGGCCCATCTAGCTCCCAACACACTGGTGGAGCAACCTTGCCCCAAAGCACTAGCTCTCCCCCATGGGCTGTGGTGAAGAAGAAGGCAGGTTGAGGCATCTGCTAGCTTGGAGCTCCCTGATCTGAGCAGAAAGGTCTGTTTCCTCTCATGGTGGAGAGATAAGGGGTTCCCCATGGCAGAAGCTGGCTGGCACATTTCCTAATGTGACTAACAGCCAAGAGCTGATCTTTGTCCCAGGAGGCTCAGGCTCTGACCCAGCTCAGCAGAAAATGGGTTTGCTGCTGGTGGGGTGAGCTTCTTAGGGAAGCCAAGCTTGTGTTTGTAAGATGGCACACAGGTTACTTTCAGTTGAAAATACACATTGTCCCCGTGCTGACCCCCAGCTCTGCTCCTAGGCCTATCTCATCTACTCCAGCAGCGTGGCAGCTGGGGCGCAGAGCGGCATCGAGGAGTGCAAGTTCCAGTTCGCCTGGGACCGCTGGAACTGCCCGGAGAGGGCACTGCAGCTCTCCAGCCACGGTGGGCTGCGCAGTGGTAAGGAAAGTATTGGATACCACTACTGGGACCCCCTTGCTACAGGTTAGAGCCCATGGCCCCCCTCCTCTCTTCCCAAGTGCCTCCTTTTCTTCCCCATTCCCACACGGGAAGTGCTTCTCCCAGGAATCCCCCAGAGGGATCTCCCCAGGAGACCCCTTCACCTATCAGCTCCCAGATACAGTGGGATCTCGCTCCAAGGCCTCCTTGCAATGCCAGCCTTGCCCATGGACCTGCTGAACCCCAGCTAACACAGGACCAAACCTTACACAACTGTCTCCCAACAAGGATGCATGCCCCTGACCTGCACATGGCCTGCTGGACACCATGCCTATATGGTGCCTTAGGGTATCCCAGGGAGGCTGAGAAACAGCACAGGCTGCCTGGGTTGCAAGCAGAGGGATAAGGCTAAAGTGAGCAGGAAAGTTCATTAGTGGCTGTGCTCTGGCCAAGAGACAGGACAAAAGTCTTCCTACATCTTCCAGATGTCAGAATCGCCCTAGGCAGAAATCCAGCATCCCTGACTTGGGCCACTGTATGGCAAGGGACTGTGGTCATTGTCACTGTAACCTATTCCCTACCTATTTGCAGGTCCCAGGAAATATTTCAGTGCACATCTGGCCCTCTAGACCTATGTTTTATGCTGGGCTGGGCTCATACCTGCTCTGTAAAAGCAGGACCTGGGTATGGAGGAGAGCCTCAGGCCTCTGGTGGGACTGGCAGGAGACAAGAGACCAGAGCCCCAGGTAGAGGTGGACCAAGGAATCAAAGTGGAGCCTTGAGGAGACAAGTGCAGCACAAGGCCCACTCTGAGACCAGAAGCAGGTCCCAGAACAATTCCTGTCAAGGTTATCTGCTCAGATCCACACCTTGCTGGTATTAAAGGAAAGCCAAAGGCTCAGTGAAGCCAGCTGATGATTCCCAGACTGATCCTGGTGGGTAGATATGGCCACTACTCAGAGCTCTTTCACCAGAAGGTACAGCTCGAGAGGACTGTGGGGAAGGAGCTCTTTGATACTTGGAGAGGACCCCTTGGGTTGGGGGTGTGTTAGTGAGAAGTGAGGGACATTGGCAGTCTGTGCTATATCCCCACTGTTGAGCTCCCACAAGGACAGCCAGGTGCTATTTCCTCCACACTCCTTCAAATTATATAAGTCAGTCTGGGTCATATTTGTGAGCTTCTATCTTCATGCAGTTCAAGCCCAAACTAAGCTAATCTGACAGGTAGAGCCTCTTCTCCACCCCACAAAGTCTTCCCCACTGCAGATCCTGTGAGTCCTGGGCAGACTCCTGCACGGTTGGACCAATTTCTAACATTGCCCTTGCCATGAAATCTTTTGTTGACAGCAAACCGAGAAACAGCCTTTGTCCACGCCATCAGCTCTGCGGGTGTCATGTACACGCTGACCCGGAACTGCAGCCTGGGGGACTTTGACAACTGTGGCTGTGACGACTCCCGCAATGGACAGCTGGGTAAGGAGGGATGAGCTGCTGCCCCACACTCATCCCAGGTGGCAGGAGAAGCTCTTCTCTCCTCCACTGAGGCCTGCAGGAACACCTCCCCATCCTGGTCCCCACACCTGGGAATAATGCTCAGAGAAAAGCTTTCCCTGGTTCCAACCTAAGTAGCTCTGTGAAAGCTAATGGAGCCACCTCTAGTTTACACCAGCCAAGCTCTTGATGCTTTCCATTACTTTTCACATGAACAGGAAGGTAGAAGGGGTTGCAGTTTCCCTGGTTCAAATCAAGAACTCTATTTAAGCTGCTGGAGAGAATGACTATATCACACAGGCAGAGGAGTGGATCTGTTGCCATGCACCTAAATGATCTTGGTACAGCAGCACAGATCTTGATACAGCAGCACAGGTCAGGGACCTCAGGGTTCCCAGGGCCTGAGAGACCAGGTTGGCCCCACAGCAGAATGACCATAAGAAAAAGTAGGGTGGCATTCATGAAGCTCTCTAGCACTTGTCAGCATGACAGGCACACAAGAGCTCAACCAGGAGAATCTCTGTGGGTGCACACAGCCATCACACCCTCCACATGGCAGTGATATCCAGGCCCTCAGCCACCAAGCACCTCCAGGGGAACTCCAGGCTGCACCACTCCAGCTCTCTGCTCAGCTTTCACAGAAAACACTGACATTTAGGGGTTTTGTTTTGAATAGAAAGAGGTCAAATTTCAAATTATCAAAATCTTTTAAAAGCCATGCCACACCAGGCAGTCAGTATGTGTCATTTTATGACAAACTCCTCTGGAGTGTCCAGTATTTAGTAATTTACTTTACTGGCTGATAGTTTTGAAAACAGCTACTACTGCATAGATGCCCAAAGTTTGGGAATGCCTGTCTCTAGCAGAGCAAGACTTTTGGGCAACAGCACATCAAATTCTATCTTCTCTGGCAAACCAAGTTAGTCCTGCTGCATTTCCTTTCCCACAAATATATTTGTTTTTAATAAAAAACTTTCCATTGTGGACTTAAAACCTTGTAAGGCACAGGAAACTTTTGGGCTTGACCAAAACTGCATGATTCAATTCAGCCATTGGACTGAATCCAAGCTGGTGAAAGGTTTTCCTACTTCCTTCACTCCCAGTTCTTGATTTGGACTGCATCATCCGCTGAATTACCCACCTCCCATGAAACACTCTTGTCTCTCTCTGGGAGAGGGGATCACGATGCCCTGGGGAAGTCCAGGCGAGGGTCAGGCCTTTCCAGAGAGGCACAAGGCCATTAAACCACAACTCCTATGATGTACCAATGTGGCATGTCAGGATCAGAATGTTCCAGATTTCAAATCTTCATTAAAAATCTGGCATCTTTCTCTAGGAGGAAAAAAACTGCATAATGTTTTTCCAGTCCCATTCAGCTCCCACTCAGTTAGGAAAAGTACCTTCCACATATTTTTGTGCAATTTCACAGTTCTTTTCTGACTCCCTTGTTTCTTGATGGTAACTAGAAAATCAGACCCTTCTAAGATGCCAAACAACATCTCAGAATTCTGGGTGTGCCAAAACCAAGGCCTCCTTGATGCACATGTGCCAGGTTTGGGCTGCTCTAGGCAGAGGGGAATCTGTTGCCTCTGACCAGGATGTATCCACCAGTTTTTTAATCCAAGTTAGCAAGGTGCTGTCCCTGCAAGTCACTCTGAACCAGCTGAAGTCAGGGTTTGAGAAGTGATTAGAGACCCAAAGGCTTATCTGCATGTCTGCTAATGCACTGTAACTAACAGCTTCTAAATCCTGCTCTATAGAAAGCCTGGAAAGCCTGTGTTTGCTGTACAGGACATGCCTGCCAGCCTGAGCCACTTACTATCCAGGCCTCAAGAGAAATGTCATCAACCCAGTGGGAGGGAATCTGGGAGTACTGTGTGGTGAAAGCCTGGATTTGCCCCACAGCCTCCATTCCCTCCCATCACTTCTGAAACCTCTTCTGGTTCTTTGACAGCACACATCTCATCTCCTTTCTTAGGGGGACAAGGCTGGCTGTGGGGAGGCTGCAGTGATAACGTGGGCTTTGGGGAAGCTATTTCCAAGCAGTTTGTGGATGCCCTGGAGACTGGACAAGATGCCAGAGCTGCTATGAACCTGCATAACAACGAGGCAGGTAGAAAGGTGAGCACCTCTCTCCCTCTGAAGCTGACAGTGCATACCAAATTTGCTCTGAGCATTCACTGTGGAGAGTCACAATTTGATGTGGCTAAAAACACATGTCCAGAAGAAACAACTTCCTGGGGGGATGTCAGCCATACAATGCTGTCTGCCCTAAGGTAGCAAAGCTTCTGTGTTCAGTGCTAATTACTTTCTGCAGTCCTCTTCCTCCCAGTTCAAGGAGGGGAGCACTGTGGAAAAGCAAATCTGTGAGCTTCAGGACTACTGTGCAGGGAGAATTGATGCCAAACTCTTCCACTGACCTGGAGCCATGATTCTGCATGCATTGCAGTACAGAAATGGCCCCTCCGGTTTTGTTTTCTTGAACCCCTCTCTCTGCTCACCCTGTAGGCAGTGAAAGGGACCATGAAGCGGACTTGCAAATGCCACGGCGTGTCAGGAAGCTGCACCACCCAGACCTGCTGGCTGCAGTTGCCCGAGTTCCGGGAGGTGGGCACTTACCTCAAGGAGAGGTACCACAAAGCCCTGAAGGTGGACTTGCTGCAGGGAGCAGGGAACAGCGCTGCCAGCCGGGGTGCCATTGCCGAGACCTTCAGTTCCATCTCCAAGAAGGAACTGGTCCATTTGGAAGACTCTCCTGACTACTGCCTGGAGAACAAGACACTGGGGCTGCTGGGCACGGAGGGCAGGGAGTGCCTGAAGAGGGGCAAGGCGCTCAGCAAGTGGGAGAAGCGGAGCTGCCGGCGGCTGTGTGGGGACTGCGGGCTGGCGGTGGAGGAGAGGCGAGCCGAGATGGTGTCCAGCTGCAACTGCAAGTTCCACTGGTGCTGCGCTGTGCGCTGCGAGCAGTGCCGCAAGCGCGTCACCAAGTACTTCTGTGTCCGCAAGGAGAAGCGGGAGCGGAGCGGAGGTGGCGGGGCCAGCCGCAAGCTCAAGAGAAAGCTCTGACTTGCTTCTGCTCCTCCACAGTTCTGTCTGCCCCTCTCCTCTCCTGCCCTTCCCATCAGCTCCTGGCACTATTTCTGTTTGGCATAGTTTTGTCTCATTCCCGCTGCTGCCTCACTGGGGCTTGGGCAAGGCAAAAGAGCCTTGTATGAGTGCTCAGGCCTTGCCCATACAGGGCATTAGTGCAGTGGGTAATGTCTTCTGGGGACACCTTCAAGTGTTCACAAAACAAGGTGAGACTCCATCCCTTCAACTCAGTGTCACTCTATCCAGTGACTATGGCATTATCTCTGAAAACACAGGAGGTCTTGGTGGCTCCTGTGGTTTTGAGCTGGTCTGTTCCCCAAACAAGCACCTGCTCTGGGCTTTTGAGTGAGATTAAAAGTACAAGGAAACTGAGGTGGCACCAGCAATTGGGCAACTCAGATCAGTAATCTGTAAATGAGAAGAGGCTTTTAAAAAATAGAGCTACTAAAACAGTTATTGCCTCAGGCCTACAGTATGAGGAGATACAAAAGACATGCAACTCCTTTCTCAGCAAGACAGCTTCCAGGGACCCCACAGCTTTGCTTCCCACCCTTTGACAGCTTTGCTAAGCTCTCCAGTGCTTTACTTTGCATTTGAAATGGCAGCAGCAAGATCCAAATTGCTGCTTGATCTGCCCATTACACAGCTGTCCAAAATAGGGGTCCCATCACTTGGTTTTTACATGCTTTCTATATATCTTCCAAGTCTCCAGGTCTGGTCTCCCTTTTTAGGCCAGCAGTCCTATCAAAGCCCCTGACTGATGCCATAAAGATGCCCTAACACTTCTCCACTACCTCCTTCCTCCCAAATCGCTCCCAGTGAGGAGCTGCCAAGCTGAGCCTACTCCCCATGTCCTGGTGTACTTCCCAAGCACTCTTACCCTGCCAGCTAACTAACTAAACACTTCTTCCTAGTCTGAGAAAATAATGTCAGTTACTATTTAATGGTGGTGTAAATAGGAAAGTGAAGCACTTTGAAGTTTAATTTATTGCACAGTTACTGTGATGTATACATAACAGTTTTTCCTCTACCACTTATTGTATATATTCTATAGGCTAAGCAAGCAGCAGGAAGATTTGGTTGATGCATCTCTGTTCCCTTGCTGAGGCTAGGGGAGGGAGGTAAGAAGCTACCAGCTGCAGGATTTGGGGAAGCTCACTGCACCATCACAGCAATCTTCCTCTGTGCTGCAATAAGATCGCCTACTTTGCTGATTGAAGTGTCCTTTAGCCAGACAAGAAGCCAGCAGAGCTGTTACTGGCCATTAGACCCATCTTGTAGCCAATATTTGTAAACCAATAGCCAATGCAATAAATCAGTAGCCAAGTGCTTGCAAAATGTTGTTGTGTCTAAGTGGCTGGGTGTTCTTTCGTCCCATTTTGCATGCGTATGTAGAAATTTAAGTGTCCTGGAGGTTAAAACACACTGCTTACCCATCTGATCCCAGGAAGACCTAGCCAGTTCCAGCCAGCACAATCTCAACTCCTACCACGAGGGGAAAGGATGTGCTCTCTCCTGAGCTTGCTTGAGGATGCATCCAACTGCAATGCAACTGCCAGGAGGAAACGGGGTGGGAGGGGGGCAGGCAGGGCCCAGTGCCCACTACATCATAGATATATTAAAGACACTCAGCAGCCTGCATTTGTCTTCATTATCAATTAGTCCCTTGATTCTAAGACTACCTCACAGGGATCAGGAATTTGGACATAGGGTCTCATCAGAGCAAGAGCATTCCGGTCAAGCAAGAATCTGGCCTTTCAAAAATTGCAACAAACCTTGGCCCATTCTCAGGGAAAACTGAAACACTTCCACTTCACACACAAACCACCACTGTTTGCACAGAAGCTCTTACTAGCCAGTGACCCTGCTGAAGGTCTCTTGCGTCCCCAGCAGCAGCTGCCCCATGTCCCTGTGGTTGGCCAGGAAAGGAAAGAGGAAGCAAGAGCCTCTCAGCCACCAGGGAAAGCTCCAGCACGGGCCTCCCTTTTCCTGCTGGCTCTCCCAGTTCCACAGTCAGCTGGAAAAGCTGCAGAAGCCGCTTCCCTCTTCCTCCCACTCGTACTCCATCCGTCCCCTGCTGACACTGCTGCCCCAAAGTGCTGCCCGCGAAGGCCGTGGCACAGCCGCTGCCGAAGGGGACATGTGGGGCACCTCAGTGAGAGCCCCGCCGCCACACGCTGCTTCCGCCGGGAAACGGCGACACCGCAGCTGCAGAATGTGCTGACCTCAGCAGCGGGTCCCCCCTCCCGGCGCACGGAGCCCGCAGCGGTAAAGGCCCTGCTGCCATTGTGGGCAGGATTGGATGCTTCCATGTATTCATTTCGGTTTAATGAAGGCGCATTCCTCAGAGGAGAAATATTTACATTCAGCTTCCCAGGTGGTCACCTTCGCCCAGATGACACACAAACAGGCAGCCCCCCGCTCCCTTTTCCAATCCGAGCCTCTTTAGAGGGCTCGGGAGGAGGGGGGGCTGCTGGGGGAGCAGAATAGAGAAGGGAACAAAATGCTAATAAATCAGCCAGCCAGCCCTTTTCCCCTCCCCTCAGTGGAGTCAATGGAAAGTGTCATTTCACATGCTAATCCCCCTCCGATCTCTTTACAACACCTTTTCCGAAAAGTGTTTGGGAAAAGTCCTTGTGGCCCGTTTACAGCTCCCCGCCGTTTCAGATTCCTTCTTGTCTAAGGCCGCGGCCCCGGTGTGGGTCTCTCCCTCCAGCAGGGCTCCTTACAAAAAACATCTCAACAAAGACTTTGGAGTTCATCAGCCTCCCACTGAAATTCACAGCTGCTGAACAAACTAATCCCCTCTCTTGGCCTTTCTTCCTTTCAATGGGTTCTTGGCTTCAAAGACACTTTGGGAAAGGACTTTGTGGGGACTCACACTGCTCCCTCAATAGAAGTTAGTGCAAGCATTATCTTCAGAGCAAGTGGCTTTACAAACAAATACTGCCTAACAATCTCTGCCCCTCCAGCTCCCCCAAACACACACAAGCCTAGCCTGCAGACATGATGTTATCTGCTACGGGATTAGAGCTCTGTTCTCTGTGCCCAGGGATCCTTTCCTGCTGCCCCCTTCCCCCCCAAATTCTTTGTCAACCCAAAGGCCTTCTCACCCAACTGAAAATGCTTTCTCTGGTGCCCGGTTGTTGTGAAGCCATGTGCCCACACGGGAGGGGGCAATGCTCACTGCCCTGGGATGCTGCCAGCCAGCAGAGATGGTGCTATAAACGGAGGAGCACTTTCCAGCGGGGTTTGAAAGGTAATATACCACACCAGGGCTGCAGAGACAGGGCCTCTGCCCCCAGCCTCTCCAAGACTTTCAAGCGACTCATCTCACTTCCCCCTCTGCTTGCTTTCAAAGCAAAGAGCTTCAGGGATGGTGCTTACAGGGGTAAACATGAAGCAAAACAGAGCAACAGAGGGGCAGGTGTGAAGAACTCACATCAAAGGCAAGATAAACAGCCAGTCTCTGCACAAGTACCCGGTAGCAGCAGCTATGCGTGCTGGAGGGAACTAATGCCATATGTATCTGAGAGATACGTGGAAAATCTGTGATTATTTCTCAGAAGTAGAAGTGGCCTGAGTTAAAGAGAGCAAAGGGCTGGAGTGCAAAGTGTACCATAACTGAATCCAAAAAGGCAGAATCTAAGAAATGCCAGGCTTGTTAAGTGATCTCAGAAACCTGGGACTTCCCTTATACACTCATTAAACAAATGTATGCCACCGGAGCTACCTGTGTGATAACACCATTCTGATGCTGCATCAGTGTTACCTTTGAAAATCAGCTTTGCTTGTCCCTGCTGGGGGACAGCTATTAGGCCAGGCTGTTTGCTAACTGCTCCAGACCAAAAGCTCTTCAAGACTCCTTCACACTGGGTGTTTGCCAGCAGCAGAACTACAAAAGGCTTGTTTTCCTTGAATGCATGTGTTGTGTCCCTAACACCCGCAACACTCAGAAACCCTGGGCCCTTTTCAGCAACAGCCCTTCAAATTTTCACCATTCAAACAATCTTTTCAAACCTTTGCTTCCTCCCAAGTCCTCCAACCTTGGGCCGTGTAATACAGTCTTCATATTTCAGAGTTTCATGTGTGCTGACTGGAAGGGTTGTCCATACACACTAGTTAGCTGACAGAAAAAAAATTACATCAGAATTTCTTTGTTTTGTAAGAAAGAAGTTTGATTCACCCACCTTTATCTCAGTACTATGTTTCCATTTAGGACTTCTTACATCCTTAAAAGATTAAATTAAATCAGCCAACAGATTCCTAAGTTATTAACTAATGATAAGAACTGACAATTCAAGGGTATAAATTTTCACACAGGTCCAATCCTTATCCTAGTTCAAGCTGCATGGCTTCAGTGGTGTAACATTTATTTCCAATGGGAGACAATGTCATCAAGGGCTCTCTGTTTACTTACTGACATACTTCCAGCTCTTTATGTCAAGTGCAAAATCTCAAACACGGCTGAGATTCCCCAAGAGAACCTGAGTTTAGGTCCTTCTTGTGTCTGATGCAGATGAACAGTCACAACTGGTGCAGGTGATCTGGAGATCAGTGCTCTGACATGCAGCCTTAGAGAGGGCATAAGACCTGAGGTCTCAGCACACCAGGATGGATGCCACCCATAGCAGCAGAGCCCAAAATCTGATTTGCCCCACACGGTTCTCAGCTGCCCCCTCTGTGGGTGGCCATGCAGACTGAGGAAGTCCCATGCAGCCAGAGGTAGCAAGCCTCTGAAAAAAAAGCATCACAAAACACAGCTTTTATTTCACTGTTCTGTAATTTCTCAGTGCATCAAACCTCAGCAATAGAAACAACACAGCAGCAACAAGGAGGCACTTTGACCTGGAAAGGAGTGAATGAGACATGTCCTCTTTCTCCATTCTGTGATTCTCCTCCCTCCTAAGTCTCATGGTAGACTAGATTGATTTGTGTATGTCACTGAACTGCAGGCCCACGATAGCATTATCACTCAAGCAGCAAGCAGAGCTAATAGGGGCTGGCTGCATCCAAATCTTGGGAATAAGCCTTGCTCTCGGCTATGGATCAATGATTATGC